AAGAGAACGGGTGCCGAAGGTGTCATTTCGCGAGGTGTTGTCGGCCTTAAGGAAAAGGCCGGGGTTGCGGCATCAACGGTCGGTTGGTGAAGGAGGAATGACGCTCAGTTTAGCGCAAATGTCAACCAAGAAACGCCTGCTACTCAGGACGTCGCAGGCATAAAAAGTTTGACCGGGATTAGAAAACCAAGAAGACTGGTGGCATGCACCTTCGTGTGAACTGGCTTAACCCGTTTGCTCTGCTTGGAGATGAAGGAGCAGGGAGAGGTGCAGTGACGAGCTCTGACACCAAAGGTGGAGTGATACCAGCATGTGGTAGTTGAGCTGGGATGAACTGAAGCAGCAGGCTGGATATGCCGGCTAGATGACCTCGACGAATGCCAGGATGAACAAGTTAATTGCTCTTAATTAGCAAGTAAGAGCAATCACAGCCTTCAGTTGTGAGAGAGCTTCAGAAGAAACAGCAGGAGTTGGGAGTGCGGCAGGTGATGGTTTGAAAAAGCCGTTCCTCGCCATCAAATGTTCGTCCGGAAGAGTGAGTTCAGTGACAGTGAGGGCGTTTGCCTTTATTTATTTTAATTAACTTGACTTGACCTCACTCGACATAAAGCGCAGTCGTAGGAGTCCCAGATAGTTTCATTTATCTGCCAATATCATCGCTGATTAGAATTTATCGCTGTGTTAATGGGCAGACTTATGCAGCTAAGAGCAAAATTCGCGCATAAGGATAAGAACAACGCGTCCACCAGAGTTTCCTCTCTCCGGAAATATTTGAAAACTCAACAGTTAATAAATAATACTACTTTATAAACTTAATTTCACCTGCACAGTAGCTCTTTTCGCCCATATTGAAATTGATCACTAGGAGATGTTGAAGAGTGCATAATAAAACATTAGGGTGACTGAATATTGTACCTTTGTATTCATCTGGGTCGAATAATGGAGTTGTTATAATAACCTAAATCGAAGGTCCTGATTCTGTCTAGAACTTACTTTTTCGCAGGCACGTGTGTTGTGATGGTATGTCACGTTGTTACTATTCCTCACTTATGTTACAAAGGCTGCTAAATTTGTGAAGAACTTTATCCCCCTCTTCGATCGCGTCCTTGTACAGCGCTTCGAAGCTGAAGTCACCACCAAAGGTGGAATAATGATTCCAGACAAGGCCAAGGGCAAAGTTCTTGAAGCTAAGGTGGTTGCTGCTGGCCCTGGACATGTGAATGAAGTAAGTTATTTTTTTCGCTCACCCATTTTCTTAGCAAGGGAAAACTGTTCCGCTGTGTGTGAAAGTGGGCGATAAGGTTTACTTGCCAGAATACGGTGGCACTAAAGTTGTTTTTGAGGACCAGGTGGGTACCCTTCCCTCCATAATCGAGTTTTTTTAGGAATTTTTCCTCTTCCGCGAAAGTGATATTCTTGGAAAGTTTAAGAACTGAGCTGCTTTTTGGCGTCCTTGTCCATAGCTTTTGTATAATGTTTTTAGT